AAATCGACTTGCACGAACGGCGTGTGAATGATAGGGAAAATAAACTTCTGCATTACAGAACACAAGTTGCTCATGCAAATCAGCCATGTGCTGATGATTCTCATCTGCACAAGACGATGTCTGACACAGCGACTGTAAGGTGCAACAGTGAGGGTCGTTGCCTAGCATGTGGTCGCTACCCAACTGGGAGCACAACAATGGCTCCCCCGTCTTCGAGAACCTTATGTCAGAGGAATGTTCCATCGCCCAGCACATCAAACCGATCAGTGAACTCAAAAAGAAAATTGTCATTTACAAACATTTGATGTGGCGTTTGGAACTGGGAGAATGTGCAATATATGCGGGGTTCATTTCTTCGCAAAGTGATATGTTTCACACACGTAAGTACGTCTCTCTTTCTCTCTCTCTACGTCTCTCTTTCTCTCTCTCTATGTCTCTCTCTCTCTCTCTCTCTCTCTCTCTCTGTTTTTTTGTTCAATAAAAAACAAAAAACAAAATCAATCAATCAATCAATGAATTAATAAATCAAATCAATTAATCAATCAATCAATCAATCAATCTATCCAATCAACCACCCACACAACCACCCAACCACCAAACCAACCAACCCACCTAACCACCTAAGCACCCAACCACCCACATAACCACCCACNCACCCACCACCCAACCAACCAACCAATCCACAAACGCACTCACCCAAACATAATACCCAAATGTACGACCCTCCCAACCACCCAACCAACCACCACAGCCACCCAACCATCCACTCCAGCCACTGAACCAACCGCCAGCCCCAACCGACCACTCAACCACCCCGTGTTTTGGAGCCCGCCTATCCAACGGCCCAACCAACCAACCGACTCACCTAACCACCCATCCACCTAACCACCCACCTAACCACACAACCAACCACTCACCCACCCAACCACCCAACAACCGAACTACCCAACCACCCACCCAACCACCCAACCAACCCATCAAACCACCAAACCGCTCACCTAACCACCCAACCAACCAAGCAACCAGCCACACAACCACCCATCCATCCTCTCAATCACCCAACCAACCACCTAACCCAACCACCCAACCACCCAACCACCCAACTAACCAACCAACGTACTACTGTTCGTAATTATTATTATTATTTTCTTGCAGCCGCGAGACTCGACTCATTGTGTCCCTCGCTTATCGTACGCATTGTGTTGCCGTCATCTTTCGCAGTGTCGTCGGCCAGCCATTGAGACTGTTCATAATTGTCAGGTTCACTTATTCGACCTTGCGACACAACATGGCCGACGTAGTTGTTTTTGTGAAAGAGGTTGTGGATGGAAAGGAAATCGTCGTGAGAGAGACAGTGTGTGAGCGCGATACTGAAAACGAAAGAGACTTTGAATACTGGGAAGGGGTTGTCACCACGAAAACACTTGTGTACTACGCGTTCATCGATGACGCCCTCGCTTTGAGGGTCGTGGCGGGGCTGGGGTACGACGACCATGATTGCCTTGATGAGGTTGTAATGTACGCAAAAAAGCTTTCGGATGCGTTCCCGACGCCTGCGAACCCCCCGACTTCGATATGATTGGTCATTTGCTAAGGTGCATCGTGTCAGTCGTTGCGGTCGAGCATGTGGAAAGGTTAGCACGCAACGCATGGTATTTCTCCAAACTCGACCGCCCGCTGTAACGCTGTAGTTTTCTTCACTTAGATGTGCGCAGTGTGTTGCCAAAGGACGGTTGCGGACAACAGTGCCAAAGTGTCGACGAACCATCATCCCGCTCGTCTCATGCGTAGTCCGAAACATGTGGGTTAACGAACAAAATCGTAAAGGTTTTCAACATTCGATAGTGTTCGGGACCGCGACTACCTCCTCCTCCCATATATATGTATAAAGGGTGTTCCCCCTCCCCGTACGGTACATGTAGAACATCATATTTGTGTTATTCTTTATTCGCTCGTTGGGTTCATAACTTACGGTGTCGCTTTCTGTGAATTGCTGCAGTTTTCATACGCCATACGAAAGAAGCGACGATGCCTTGCTCGCCAATGATTTTCCAATGTTACCACACCACGAAACTAACAGGCGGTGACACAGTATACTATTACGAATCAATGACTCCCGTAACAGATCATGTCAGCTATGCAGTGCGGTACTGCAATAGAGACAAGATGGTGGATCGTCATTTCGTTGTCAACGTGGAGGAGGAGCGAGTCGTCAGACTGACTACTGAGACTTATATTCGTGACCACGCCATCGAACACGTTCGTGTGCTAATGTCTAAGCCCACTACGTACTTCAGTACCTTTGTTCTCAAACCGGTCGAAGGTGATTTGATGTATGATATCGTCTCCCCCCTAGTGCATCGCATACTATACACACACTACGGGACGGTCGCTCGGGACGGCGTATGGCGCCTAGTCGTGTCACCGCCCTATTTTGTGTCCAATGGCGAGGATTTCTCTGCCATGTTCTATCCTTGTTGTGGGATCCGACGATGAGTACCATTCATTTTTTTTTTGCTATGTTTCATCGTTATTGGAGAGAGACAAATTCATGGTTTCAATGATTGTACATTTTGTGTATACATATGCAATTTTCATATCCCATGTGTTTTTTTAATGATTTCGGTATTTTTTTCAGCTGATTTGTGTTTTTTAATTGTTTTTTAATTTTTTCGTTATGTCGAGGTACAGTACTGAGGTAATCGGTGCCCGTAATGTTCTGTTTTGTAGATTTCTGAAAAATCACACATAAGCGACAGAACAATATTCACCCTTTCCCAGACATGGACCGCCGACGACGCAGGGCTGGCGTGCAGGTCGACGCTTTCATATTTGGAAATGGGACAGATATTGATCCTTTCCACGACGAGGACCTGACAGTCGTCGAGATTAGGAGTCGGTGGTCGGGGCCCGTAGCGCTTTTGGAGGAGGCTGTGACTTTTGCTGGGCTTGAGGAGCATCTGCAACAGTGCATGAATCTGCTTATTGGTCGTGCAAATCTCGAACCAAAGAAGAATCGTTACAATGGATATGTCGTTTTTCTCGGCTGTGCGGGTTCGTCGTATTCCGACAGAGATTGCCAGATGAGTTCCAGACGACAATGCGGGAGCGATGGCCAGACACAATCATTCGAGGTTTAAACTGCGGCAATGTGATCCTCCTGAAAACGCGCACCCACGTCGACGTGCACGCCGATAAATGCTTCACGACAAGATATATATATATATATATATACAGAGAGAGAGAGAGAGAGAGAGAGTATGATTGCGAGTATGTTTGCCTTGAGTGTGTGTGTGATCGTAACCGTAAGCGTGGGGGTTGCTTTTTGTGTGCCCCGTAACGGCCAGTGCTTGTTCGACAGGCCATCAGGGTCGGTACTTACCTATTGTCGTGACTTACAGGGACTGCATTATATCAAATTTGGTTTCCCTAGTGTACATAATCTTCTTCTTCTTATAATCCTCGATCTCTCATTTCAAGTTCATTTTGTTGTTTTTGCAATTGTATGTCATTGTATTATTGACTATGGAATCTGGGCGATTATAATCCTCGCTCTCACCACTTGAGTTGGTTCATTTATTCTTGCAACTGGATGTCATTTTATTATTGGATCAACGTGTAACTCAGAATTGGTTCGGCTATATAATGTCAAACAACTATTGCCTAAGAGCGTAAGCATGTGAATTACAAGAAATAAGATGGGCGAAAAAAACAGCAATGAAAGGACAAACAGGCAAAGAGACAGACAAATTAGAATCACACAAATATATATATATATATATAACATAAAGAAAAAGTAGGAAACAATATAGCGTAACAAACAAGACACCATGAGATGTGTGAGAACAACGTCGTGCGCAATGAATTTCGGAACAGCAGATCAATGTCAAGTCAACGATAAAGTCATTCAACCAGTCAAACGCTGAACAACTCTATATCGTCACCCTCAGATTTCGAGCTCGATGTCGGGACCCAATCATCCCATGCAGGCACCACATCGTCCTCCACGTGACCGGTGATGAAAACACAGTTATCCCCCACCGCCTCATGGTCGGAACCGGAGGTATCATCATCAACGACTTTCACTGGGTCGCCCCCACCGTTGACGAACAGATCACGCGGCAATGGCCCGGCTCCATAAGGATTAACCTCCTGTCGCAGAAGCTCTCGAGCTCAGTCCGAAACACGAGCCGAACCGAACACGGACGCCGTCAACCTGTCCTGCCAAGAGTCGATCGCCTCCTGACCGTAGTGTCGACGGAAGCCTGGTCTCGGACATATGGAAGTGCCCGTAGCTATGCGAGCAATGTACCCGACTGGGTCTCGCCAGCAGTGACTGTTCCACCGAATCACTGCGATCGACAGACGCGCACAGTAAGACTTCTCGAAATGCACCGACTTCTTCACATAGATGATGATGGTGCCCTGAAAAGTCTCCACCGCCGATGTGTGCCGAAACTCGACGTAGTACGGCGTGATGTTAGTGCTGCATTAATTCCCAAGAACACGCAGAACGAGCTCGTAGACCGTGTCCGTGCGGCTATACAAAGGCAATCGTGCAGGCCCACCGGCCTTCTCGCATAGAACCTCCCTACCGCCGACACATCCCGAATGATCACCAGCCCAATCATCGGCGACCAACATGATGTCGCGGTGTAGACTGCTGACGTCTCCACCCTCCTCCCTGCATAGCTGACAAGCGCGGAGGAACCACATCCCAACCTCATGCGCAGGATACTCTGTCAAGCCGTCAGGATCAGTCTCCAACGCTCGAGCATTCGACCTTGATCCGTAGGGGTAAATCTTCCGCATCACGACAGCGACGAAATCCGATTTCTTCATACGCTCCTCAGCAGGTGTGAGGACGTCAGGTTTGAAACGCTGCTCCAACGCCTCCTTCAGCCGCTTCTTCGTTAACTACATAAATTGCGCCTCTGACACACATTCGTGCGGGTTACTCACTTTCTTCGCTTCCTTCAGTTGCAGCATACTGTGGAAGTGCTTGCGAATGTTTTTTATTTTGTGGTGGCAATCCTTCTGCCACTCGATGTTCAGAGCTCGCAACTACGGTCCCAGCGCGGCACAATCATCCGAGACAACGCACTGGATCTTCAATCCCTTCTCCATCAGCCCTCGCAAAAGTTGCACGACGGCTTGCACCTCAAGCGGATTCGACGCCTTGCCTTCGATCTTTGGACGGAGAGTGTGCACACCCACAACAAGCCGAGTCTCGTACTCCATCGTGGTGACAGTGCAATGATGCGCGCCTCTGGCAGAGTCATATCAACCATCGACCATCAATGTCACTGGCTCACCACGGCGCATCACAGTGTCAATGGCAAGCTCGCAATATTTAATGCCCTGCCGTATGACCTTGGCATTCCACCCGTCCGCCTCCCCATGTTCTATGCGCATAAACTTGTAGAACGTGGGTTTGTGCACCGAGCACATCCCTAAACCAACACAAAAGTTGTCGAGGAGCGTGAACTTAAGGCCGGTGGTGACCGTCGAATGAAAGAGCTGCTACTGCAGTCGCGACTGATAGACGTTTGTGGTCACGAGAGCCGTGCGCCACGTCCACTTGCATTTCTGGTTGTCGCATACGAACGTCAGCTTACAGAGCTGCGCTGGATAGGAGACGGACTCCACAGGCACACGGCATGAGCCCTTGTGTCACGGGCAATATAGATGAAACATGGCCAGCAATTGAAGGAGCTTGACCGGCTCCAGAAACACAACATCCGGCGCCGTCGGTCCACTCCACAATGCCATCACCTCCTCAACACTGGCACGGTCTATTTCAGGCCCAGGAAACGCACTGTTCAACACCTTCCCAACTGTCCCACCACGTCTGCGGCCGAGTAGGTGTCGGTGTGTACCGACCCGCGCTGCGGGGTCTACCGCGCCCTCTGTCACTGCGCTGTGATGCACGACGTGACGACGGGAATGAGTTCTGCGATCCCCCCTGCGACTCCCCCAACCCTCTGCTCTCTGAACCCTGTGAACCCCCCGGAACGTAGTCAGCATCGGAATCACCTGGCATATAACGCAACGTGAAATCTCGACCGCACACCCGAGATGGCAACGACGAAGAAATCACACCTGCTACCCCGACACCAAACTCCTCACAGATGGCTGGCAAGGACCAATGGAGCAGCTGATCAATAACATCACTGACCGGTCCGCGATGGTCACCCACACTGGCCATAGCATCGCGGATAGCGTATAACCACCTCCGACACGCGTCCCGCACACACACACGCACGATGCTGTTGCCTCCCGAATACGGCGTGCCACCGACTGCCGCAGAGCTAGCGACATCGTCAACCGGAGGTGTGGAATCAGGAGCGACAAAGGGAGACTGAGGAGGCACAGCATACGAAGCGGCCGCCGCGTCGACAACGCGTGGACGTGAAACGGCTGGACAACGCCAAGCGTCACTGCGATCTCCTGAAAGAGAAGCGCCTCCAGCGGAACATGGCAGGGCCAGCGCATGTGACCATACAGGTGTTGAAGGAATCGTGGCCTCATAGTCCAGCCGTCTAGGCAGTAGTGGGGACGGCAGCAACGGACCACCAAACACACCTCCATACGCGGCGGTGTCACGAACCGCGGGCACACCCGGCGGAGAAGCCCCCAACACACCAGCGAAAGGCGAAATGGGTGTCACGCCCGGGCCAACAACGCCGCCAGTCGTATGCGAAACGTTACCTCGGCACCTTTTCCCTAACCGGACCTCCGGACCACCGCTGTGCGGTGAAACGCCTAACAACCCCTGCGCTGCCCATGGAGATCGATCGACGCTTTGACGAGCATAGGGCGTCCCCTGCGGAGATGCTGCAGTGGGCGACGATCGAGCGGGAACAGCGTCTCCGCCTGTCGCTGACATTGTGAATGTCAAGGTCTGCACAGCGCCGAGAGTCAGAGAAGCATGAAGTCAAGAGTAGGCAATCAGAATATATATATATATATATATATATATATATATATATATATATATATATATATATATATATATAGTCAAACCCAATGTGTGTGTGTGTGTGTGTGTGTGAGAGAGAGAGAGAGAGAGATTGGTTTATTGATTGATTGATTGATTGATTGGTTGATTGATTGATTGATTTTTTTTATTTTTATTGGAGAGAGAGAGAGAGAGAGAGAGAGAGAGAGAGAGAGAGAGAGAGAGAGAGAGAGCACACACACGCAGAGAGAGAGAGAGATTGATTGATGGATTGATAATCAACCAATCAATCAATCAATCAATCAACCAATCAATTAATCAGTCTATTGATTGATTGATTGATTGATTGATAACCTGTCATGATTGATTGATTGAAAGGCGAGGATTTTTTGTTTTGTTTTTGTGGAGACAGAGAGAGAGAGAGAGAGAGAGAGAGAGAGAGAGAGAGAGAGAGAGCACACACACACGCACATAGATCAATCAATCAATCAATCAATCAATCAATCAATCAATCAATCATTCAATCAATCAATGAATCAACCAATCAACAATCAATCAATCAGTTGATTGATTGATTGATTCATTGATTGATTCATTCATTCATTCATTCATTCATTCATTGATAGATGCAAGGAACATGAATATGGACGAAGCACAAAGAGAGAGAGAGAGAGAGAGAGAGAGAGAGAGAGAAAGAGAGAGAGAGAGACAGAGAGACAGAGAGACAGAAAGAGACAGAGAGAGAGAGAGAGACAGAGAGACAGAGAGACAGAGAGACAGAGAGAGCACACACACACACGCACACAGATCAATCAATCAATCAATCAATCAATCAATCAATCAATCAATCATTCAATCAATCAATCAATCAACCAATCAGCCAATCAATCAATCAATTGATTGATTGATTGATTGAATGATTGCTTGATTGATTGATCGATGCAACGAACATGAATATCGACGAAGCACAGAAATCCAGATTGCAAAATCACATTCAAGTCCAAGTAGTCAAAGCCAGAGCAGATAGCACAAATGGAACCGAGTAACCATCCATTTGAGAATGATACAGAAGAATCGTGAGTCAATGTCCAAGCCCAACAGGGCAACACCAACATCATAACGCAATGTAGCTCTCTCTTGTGCCTAAGGGCCTAACTAACTCAAAGGTCCTAGGATCTCCACATTTGCAGAGATTCGAGACTCGGTGCACTCCAACCAACTGGCGTGCTGCAACTGTATAGACCCCACTTCGTGAAATGTTTGCACAGAGGGCTCTTGTTGATTTGCTGGCCCGCCTTCACTTAAGTCGGGCATGAGGCTTGCTGAGAACAGTGTGTGTGTGTGTGTGTGTGTGTGTGTGTGTGTGTGTGTGTGTGTGTGTGTGTGTGTGT